ACCAAGGGCTTTGTGTGTAGATGAGCATCTATTAACCGAGCCACCTTCTCACCTTCCCTCTCAGTGAGTGCTTTTACCCCATGGAATTTAATCTCCTCATGCAGTACTTCATAATTTTTTCACTTTCCCCAAAGCATTTCTCCATTCTTCTGTTTTTGTTCCTGTTTCCACAGCGTGCCTTGGGTTACTCTGAAGGGTAACGTGACATTTTAGTATGCATTCAGAATCTCCCTTAGGTTTACATTCTGCTTATTCCATCCTTTCCACATAAACCATTTGCTCCATTCCCAAGATTCTTTTTTTTTAAAAATATTTTATTCATTTATTATGCATACAATATTCTGTCTGTGTGTATGTCTGCAGGCCAGAAGAGGGCACCAGACCTCATTACAGATGGTTGTGAGCCACCATGTGGTTGCTGGGAATTGAACTCAGGACCTTTGGAAGAGCAGGCAATGCTCCTAACCACTGAGCCATCTCTCCAGCCCCATTCCCAAGATTCTTAAGTGACAATTCTTAGCTCTCCCAGATATTCGTCACAGCAGGAAAAACCAAACCAAAACAAACAAACAAAAAAACCTGGGTGCAATCTTCTAGCTTGAAATAGTGTAACTCTTTTTTTTTTATACATTTGTTATAGCAGTTATCTTACCTAATATACCAGGCTAAAAACCCCTCACTTGTACAAAGAGAGTGAACATATTAGTGATTTCTGAGGGTTATGGCAGAAAGAGGACCGAATAGGTGGAGCACAATGGATTTCTATGGCAGTGGAATACTCTAGAGAGATGTGTGGAAACTCTTTTCTGCTCACTCTTCCTGGGTTTCTGTAACTGCTTTAAAAATGAAGTGAGCAGAAAATAGAGTTTCTGCACATCTCTCTAGACTAGTTTAATAACACAGAGCTACAAAAAATATCTATAGACCTACTTCAGAGATAGTGTATAAATTCACCTAACAGACTTCAAAACGTACATGAAAATATGACAAAATTGAAAGGCGAAATAAATCCATAATTGTAGTTGAGGACTTGAGCATGTCTATCTCAATAATTAGTAGAATTACTATTAAAACACACAGATGAATAACATTGACAAAACTAATTAAGCTATACAACCAGCTGACAGGATTTAATTGATGTTTCCATACCGCTTCACTAACAGTAGGATATAAATTCAAGAACCCATTGTTAAATTCACGTATGTAAACCTTATCTGAATTATAAACATGAACCTCAATAAACCTAAGAGTCAAAATTATGTGGAATATTAAGATCAAGTTAGAACTCAATAATGGAAAGAGAATATGAAAATACTAAACACATATAAATTATGGAGTACATTTATAGTAGTTAACCCATAGGTCATTAAGATGTCTCATGGGAAATAAAAAAAACACATTAATTTGTACAGAAATAAAAACATAGCTTGGAAAGTTAGTTTTAATTGTGAATTAACAGTCTAGAACACCTGGGACTCAGGTCTCAGGGAGGGATTGTTTAGAGTAGGTTGGCCAATAGGCATGTCTGTGAGGGGCTGTCTTATGTTGACCTATGTGGAAATACCTGGCCTAAAATTGGGTGGTCCTATTCCTTGGGTTTGGGTCCTGGACTATAGAGGAGAAGTGAACTGTGAACTGGGTATCATGGACATATGAATTCTTTCTCTGCTCTTGACTTAGCTATGACTTAGCTGCTGAGTTCCTGTCTCTTTGCTTCCCTGAAATGATGGACTGGAACATGAATCATGACCAAATGAACCCTTTCTCCTTTAAGGTGCTTTTGTCAGGGTGTATTATCACAGGAACAGGAAGCAAAACCTGTATGTATGCATCAGAGCTTCCAAGTTTATGGCACCAAATCTGTTAGAGAAAAGAGGTCTCAAAACAAACAAACGAACAAACAAAAAAACAAAACTGGAACACGAACAGCAAAATCAATCCACAAGATCAGATAGAAGGAACTAATAAAAAGCAGAAATAAATGAAGTTCAAAACGAAGAAAACAGCAGAATATCAATACCAATATTTCTTAGAAAAAAATTAATAAAATTGACAAACTTTTATCAAGATTTGCCTAAGAGGAGACACAAATTGCCAATATCAACACTGAAATGGAGGTAGTCTGCATAGATTCTGCAGCCACTAAAGAATTGAAAGGAAGGGGCTGGAGAGATGGCTCAGAGGTTGAGAGCATTGCCTGCTCTTCCAAAGGTCCTGAGTTCAATTCCCAGCAACCACATGGTGGCCCACTGCCATCTGTAATGAGGTCTGGTGCCCTCTTCTGGCCTGCAGGCATATATTGTATACATAATAAATAAATAAATAATATTTTTTTAAAAAAAAGAATTGTAAGGAAGCCGGTCGATGATGGCGCACACCTTTAATCCCAGCACTCGGGAAGCAGAGACAGGCGGATCTCTGTGAGTTCGAGGCCAGCCTGGTCTACAAGAGCTAGTTCCAGGACAGGCTCCAAAGCCACAGAGAAACCCTGTCTCGAAAAACAAAAAAAAAAAAAAAAAAAAAAAAAAAAAAAAAAAAAAAAAAAAAAAAAAAAAAAAAAAAAAAAAAAAAAAAAAAAAAAAAAAAAAAAAAATTGAAAGGAGAATACCATGGAAAATTTAGTTCTTAATTTACACAACCAGGAAGATGTGGACCTTTCCCTTGCAATCTATAAACTGCCAAAATTCAAGTAAGATGAAACATAAAATCTGATGAAATGGAACTCATAACTGAAAAGCTCCCACAAAAATTGACTTCAAGTTTCGCTGGAGAAGGTTACTTATTATTATTTTAAAAAGCTGGCCAGAAACAAGCCAAGCTAAAGCTGGGCATTGATTTTTATTTTTTTAAGATTTATTTATATTTTATTATGTTTACAGTGTTCTGTCTGCATTTATCCAAGCAGACCAGAAGAGAGCACCATATCCCATTATAAATGGTTATGAGCCACCATGTGGTTGCTGGGAATTGAACTCAGGACCTCTGGAAGAGCAGCCAGTGCTCTTAACCTCTGAACCATCTCTCCAGCCCATTACTAATTATTTAAAGAAAAGTTAATACCAATTTTATAGTCTCTCATAGAAAAGAGAAGAAAGAACAGTTTCTATTTTATGAACCTGGTACCTATAGCAAAACCAAAGACAAAATTACAAATCATGCAAAAATAGAAATCTCAACAAAATATTACCAAATGAAAGAAGAGAGTTTATTTTAGATATTTGAAGCTTACCTAATAGGTAAAAGTTCATCAATGGTACCAAGTGGGGCAGAGTATGTCTATGATGCTAGCTACTTGAGAGATTGAGGCAGGAGGACCACAAGTTTGAGAGTAACCAGGGATCTTAGCAAGATCCTCTTTCAAAATTAAAATATAGAGAGCTGAGGATGTCCAGTGGTAGAGTGCTTAGCGTTCACAAGATTCTGGGTTTACTCTCTACACACAGACCACACACACACACACACACACACACACACACACACACATACACGTCCACCAAAAGAAAAGAAAACAGGAATGTTTGTCACAGCAGCATTTATAGTAGTTAAAAAGCAAAAACAAATCAAAAGTCTAATAAATGAATAAAAACCAATAGATGAATAAACTGTGTCATATTCATATAGTAGAATATTATTTATAAAAAAATGAAATACTTTTATATATGACACACATAAATGTTAGAAACACTTTGATAAGTGAAATAAGTCATAAAAGGCCACCCATTGGTATTCCGTTTCTATCAAATTTCACAGTAGGTAAATGGAATCAGAACATGAGTACAACCCAAGGCTGGGGAGGAGGAATACAGGGAGTAACTGCTCTTAGGTACGAAGTTCTTTTGGACAATGGCTGTGTTCTAGAACTGATGGTTCCAAACCTTGTAAATACACTGAAGTACAGAATTATACACCTTAATAGGATGAATTATAAGTGAATTGTGGCTTAAAAAGTCAATCAATGGAGGGGCCAAGCCAGATAGTTTGGCTGGTAAAGGCGTTTGTTGCCATATCTGGTGACCCAAGTTTAATCCCTGGGACTCAAATGGTAGAGGGAGAAAATGGGCTTCTAGATGTTGTCCTTTGACATATATGCACACATGTGCGTGTAAACATACTACATACACAGATAGGCAGACAGACAGAGAGAGAGCAGAGGAGAGAGGAGACTAAATTAAAAATATAATGAGGTCAATCAATATAATCAGCAGTCTAAAGAGGAAGCCATATATATCAACTGATAAAGGAAAAACCATGTGATGAAAGCCATTCATAAAATCTTTCAGACTTGGCTTTAGAAGGGAATTTCATGATGATTGAGATTACCTACAAAAGGACCCAACAGGGCTAGGGAGATAGCTCAGTTTGTAAAGCCTCTGCCTTGCAAGCTTGAGGCCCTGGGTTTGATTCCTGGAAGGCATGTAAAAATGGCTAGGGGTGGTTGTGGGTACTTGTAATGCCAGTGCTGAGGAGACAGTCAGGGCCTTGAAATTACTGGCCAACCAGCCTAGCCTGCTTGGCTGTGTTCCAGACCAGTAAGAGACACTGTCTCAAAAAGTTGGACGGAGTTTGAGGAACAATACCTGAGGTTGTCCTCTGACCTCCACATGCACAGATACACACATGCATGCATACATTCTGTCCTGGTTAGTTTTATGTCAACACAAACTAAAGTCATCTGAGAGGAGGGACTCTTAGTTGAAAAAAAAAATGCCTCCATAAGATCAGGCTGTACCCAAGGAAAGTCTGTAGGGCATTTTCTTAATTAGTAGATGAGGGCCCAGGCCATTGTGGGTGGGGTTCACGACTGAGCTGGTGGTCTGGGGTTCTCTAAGAAAGCAAACTATGTGATACAAACTAGTAAGCAGCACCCCTCTGTCGTCTCTGTAGCAACGCCTGCTTCCAGGTACCTGTCCTGACTTCCTTTGATGTTGGACTGTGATATGGAAGTGTAAGCCAAATAAACCCTTTCCTTCCAAGTTGCTTGTGGTTGTAATGCTTCATAATAGCAATAGAAACTTAACTAACACACATTATATACTCCCCCCTGCAGGCCACAAAGATCCACAGCCAATACTGTTGCTAAGAGTGAAGAATACTTTCTTATTAAGAATGGGACCTGGTAGAAAGGTATGTATGCTTACCACTCTCACTGACACTGCATGAGGAGCTTTAGTAACGATGCAAGGAAAGAAATATGTGTACAAACTGGAATGAGAATACTACTACTTTAGATGGAGTTTTCTAATATGTGTAGAAATTTAACTGAGAATCTAATGGGAAAGACAATCTTAATTTCAAAAGTTAAAATTTTGAGATAAAAGGGAAAATTAGTACAATTGATTATCAAATTTGAAGGGAACTTATTTAATACTAAATTAAATGATTATTTATTATAATATAAAAATACTGTAAAATGGAGCAATGTATACTCACAGAAATGTCAAGAAAAGTAGAAAATTGTCTAAATAAGTCATGAAGTCTGTTGAAATAGAAATAAGTAATGGCAAACAATACATACAAATGTATAAAAGAACAAAAATTAGCATGAAGATTTTGAGAAGCAAGGAAGGAGAAAAATACTGAAATCAGTCTTGAATATAAATAAATAGTAGTTGGTGAAGAGTCAAGAAAAATGTCTTCAAAGGAGACGTGACAAATAAATATGATACATTTTAAACTTACATTAAAAAATAGTAGATTACACTAAAGAAACTTTGCCTATCAAGACAAATGTAATATTACTTTCTTTAATCTTTTTTCTTTTGGATTCTATTAGCGGACTTGAGATTCTTTACTCTCCTGTATTCTCCACTTCTGGTTATCTCCTTGAATATTTAATATTTAACCATTGTGAAATGACACAGTTTCTCTCTTTTTTAGACAGTTACATATAGTCAAGGCTAGCCTTGAACTCACTGTGTAGCTGAGGATATCCTTCAACTCCTGGTCCTCCTGCCTTCATCTTCCAAAGCCATCACCATATTAAGTAAGTTTTTTTTAACCTTTTTTTTTTTAACTTCTGAGGCTTGTCAATTCAGCTTACCAACGCAGCCTTTTTACCAACTTATCAGTTTGCTAGAATAACCTAATCCATAGAATGTATTTTTCTGAGACCATGGAGAAGATTAACCTAAGGGAATTGGCTACCTCTTATGGAATTTGAAACATTAGCTTGATGAATCACTTACTTGGTCTGTGCCTCATTTATTTACCCAGCCGATTTGTTTTGTCCTAGTTGCTTTTTTTTTTTTTTTTAAAGAATTTAGAGCCAGGAGGTGGTGGCTCTAAATCCATGCAGAGGCAGGTGGATCTCTGTAAGTTCAAGGCCAGCCTGGTCTACAAGAGCTAGTTCCAGGACAGGCTCCAAAGCCACAGAAAAACCCTGTCTTGAAAAACCAAAAAAAAAAAAAAAAAGAATTTAGAATAAACTAGTGAATAAAGAAGAGCTCCCTTATCTAATGGAACATTCTATAGGGAAGATACTAACCAGTCAATAGTTGTTGGGTTAGGAGGTGATATATATATATATAAAATATGTGTGTGTGTATGGTTAGAGAGATGCAGACCCAGATGTAGGTATTTCCATCCAAAATATTAAGAGTGTGATAGAGGAAGGAGAGCACCAGCTACAGCGGCTTTGCCAGGCTGCGCGTCTAAACATGGTGACCCTGAGGAGGTGATGCCTGCGTCGTATAGGTTTGACGGTGAGGAAATTCAGTCAAGTGACTGGCTGGAGAATATAAGGGTGGCACTGTAGGCCATTTGGAGGGTTTTAGATTTAGTCTTTGTGAAAGGAGACACCTTGGAGTCTTCGGTTGACATCACAAAGGTGTTGAGAACTGACTGTAGGAAGTAAGAATCAGAGCAGAGGACAAGAAGTGGGCTCAGTAGCTAGTTGTCCCTAGGTCAAAGCTGCAAGTTACATATGTTGCTGTGAGAACAGAAGCGGGAGTTAAAGGAGGGATCAAAGCAGCGTGTAGAGCACTGAGCAGATAAATAAGGAGCTTGTGGCTGGATATGAGATAATCAAACTGAGCAGCTCAGAGGAGGGACAGGACGTGGGGCCCAGGACAGCACTACAGCTGTCTCCCCTCTTCCCCAAGCCCCAAAGGAGCAAGTATAAAGTACCGTTGTCTTTTCATATATTCCTGCTTCTACTGAAGCCAACTGCTACAGAGTGGTGTAGGGAAGGATGGCTTCTAACGAAAAGCCTTCACCTTTCCCAGGGACGAGACCACAGAGCATCCTGTAGCCAGGAACTCTAGGAACAATCCAGATACTTGCGAGTAGCTGTGAAAATGCAGAGAGCTTACTGTATTTCACAGCTCTTGGGACACCTGCAAGGCCAGAGATAGCAACACCAGCCATGACTAACAGCTTAGAGGGAGTCAAGGTTAACAGCCAACAAAGCACAAGTTGGATTTGGAGGAGGGGTGGGGGTGGGGGCTGGGGAGTGGGGGAGTCTTCAGTTACCCCTGACTGGATGCACTGCACACGGGCAACACATGTTTGGTCTAGGGGACAGCCACGGAGTTTTGTATGCCTTCTATTGGAATGGCTCTTGATAACCCAGGGAAGTAAACAATCTCAGAGATCACTACAGCCTTTGTCCAGTTTCTGCATGTAAAGAATTTGGGGGCTTTTCTTCTCTTTTGGGAATCCTTCCAACTTTCAGGAATTTCTCTCACTTTTCCTTAAATTCTTACTTTTTTTTTTCTCAATTCTTCACTTTTCTGTAAAGCTCCTGCACAAAAGTCTATGTTTAGTCTTCATTGGTTTGAGGCAAGGAACTCAGAGTCATGGGTTTAGGTTGACTTTTGGTGACCAATGAGTGTCTTGCACTTCAGGTCTCTGGGCCAATCACGGCTGGACAAGAAAGATCCTGTTGTACTAAAAGCCCCTGCAACAAGACTATGGATGGTAGGACATATTTTTTTTCTTCTTTCTTTTCTTTTATTTAATTTATTTATTTATTAAAGATTTCTGCCTCCTCCCCGCCACTGCCTCCCATTTCCCTCCCCCTCCCCTGATCAAGTCCCCCTCCCTCATCAGTCCAAAGAGCAATCAGGGTTCCCTGACCTGTGGGAAGTTCAAGGACCACCCACCTCCATCCAGGTCTAGTAAGGTGAGCATCCAAACTGCCTAAGCTCCCTCCCACAAAGCCAGTACATGCAGTTGGATCAAAAACCCATTGCCATTGTTCTTGAGGTCTCAGTAGTCCTCATTGTCCACTATGTTCAGCAAGTCCGGTTTTATCCCATGCTTTTTCAGACCCAGGCCAGCTGGCCTTGGTGAGTTCCTGATAGGACATCCCCATTGTCTCAGTGTGTGGGTGCACCCCTCGCGGTCCTGAGTTCCTTGCTCGTGCTCTCTCTCCTTCTGCTCCTGATTTGGACCTTGAAATTTCAGTCCGGTTCTCCAATGTGGGTCTCTGTCTCTGTCTCCTTTCATTGCCTGATGAAGGTTAATATTCAGGAGGATGCCTATATGTTTTTCTTTGGGTTCACCTTCTTATTTAGCTTCTCTAGGATCGCGAATTATAGGCTCAATGGGTAGGACACATTTTTGAAGACCCCCATGTGACAACAAGATTTCCTGATCAACTGGAAGGGCAGCATTGCTGTGAGTAGGAGGGGCTGCAGGCACCCTGATTCAGGACCAAGTATTTCTATGGTTTCATGAGTTTCATGAGAATTGGTACCCTCCGTCTGTCGTTTGAATTCAAAGATATCTTCTCTGATTTGGTATTTCTCACCATCTGTGTTCTCAGTTCCCCATTTCTCCTTTCCGACTTTCTGGGCAGGAAGGCCAGGCTAATTTTGGCAATCTCCCTCCCCAAAATTGTCCCTCAAGGCTTGTCTTTGAGAGAATGTGTGATTCTTATCTGAAAAATGAACTTGCGCTTTTTCTTCAAATGAATGTTTCTTTTTCTTTTTTTCTCCATAAAAGTTGTGTTTGGGGACTGGAGAGATGGCTCCAGTTAAGAATGGTTAAGAATTCTTGCTGCTCTTACAGAGTGTCAGAGTTTGGTTCTCAGAACCCATGTTGAGGGGCTCACAGGACCTGTAACTGCAGCACCAAGGGGCCCTAGATCTCCTTCTGGCCTTTGCGGACAGCTGCACACAGGTGTACATACACATATACACATGCATTTGCACAAATAAAAATAAATGAAAACTTAATGTCTTATAGTAATTTATTTTTTAGAAGCAAATCTGAAGATGATTTTGCAGTATTGGAGGATTCATTTCTCTAGGTAGGAGAAATGTGAAAACATTTCTTCTTCCAGTGTTTTGTTAAATATTTGAACCTTGACCTGGTTTAAAACTTTTCTTAAGGATGAGAATATATAATATTATTTCTGTGTCAATCTAGTCTCTGGCTTATTTGTTTTGGGTCACACGTAGAAGTCATTGAATCCTTTGTGGACAAAATGAGTTTTAAAACGTACCACTGTCCACTAGGACCTGAGCTGAAACTATTACCTTATTTTATTCAGGTCCTTGGGTAGCTGTGAAACAGACAATGGTCCCCCTGGTCAGGTTTGCACTGAAGTCATTGCCAGCAAAACTTCCCCAAGGCCACATTCTTATGTCTCATTTTCAGGATGTTAGTGCCATAGGAGCAATTAAAATTGGTGAATAATGTATTTTCCCCTCTTGATAAATAATGTGGATGGCCTGCAGACTGCTCATATTCCTGGCTAGGGATTTAACAGGCTATTGTGTTAGCAACACTATGGATGCAAATTGTAAACATTCATCATCTCCAACGTTTCATGCAATTTTCAAAACAATGTCAGTTGAAAAAGATGCTCCAACCTAACCTCCATACAAATTGCTGTGTGGATGCTTCATCCACATTTTCCAGAACTGTTTGTTTTCCTGTAACTTGTATTTATTGTATAAAACATTGTAAAGTCTACCCAAAAGTGAATTGTAGTAGGTAAAAAGCTTATAATAATGTCCTGTAAAATTGATTTCCCATCTATTTAGATCATATGAACTATTTAAAAGTGTATTATTACCCAAACCTCCTATGTAGGGAAATTTAGTAATAAATCTCCTCTCCATGTTCATTAGCATGTCTGTTACAAGGCAAATTGAATTCATGTAGTGAAAACTTCCCAATGTTATCTTTAATCTTAGAATTTGATGACAATTATTACCTTTATTCCTACAAATCACTGATCCAGGGATGGGGGACTCTGAGTTGTTATGACTCAGTAAAGCACTCTTGAGAAGAATGTGGGTCAGTGAGCGCTGCACACCTTCTAAGTCTCTGAGCTAAGCACGTGGAGAATAAAAAAATACAAGTCATGAGTAGGCCACAAGAGATTCAAAGTCTAGTTAGCAGATAGGTAAGAATGTAAAACACTATAAATTTGGCAAGTGCCATCAGATAAATATATTTTAGGTTTTCTGGAAGAAGAAATACTATTTTCTGAGATGCAATGATTTTATAGGAAAAGTGAAATTTGAATGAAAAATGAAGATGGGATGGGGTGAACTCTAAATAACAGTAGTCCCCTTTATTCATGGGGATGCATTCCAAGATCCCAATAGATGCCCAAACCCTGTGTATTATGTATTTTTCCTAAACATATCAATGATTAAATTTAACATATAAATTAGGGACAGTCAAGGACTAACAATGAGAAATAAGTAGATCAGTTATTATAATATCAAGATATAACTGTCAGTATCCCCATTCTTCTGTTTTGGGTTATCTATTAAGTTAAATGAAGGTCACATGAACATAGGCACTATGATACTATGACAGTCATTCCCATGACTTTGATGAATCCTGAGTGGCTAAAGAGTAGTGTATGTACATGGAGGGTGAAAGCCACAGTGATTTAAAGTGCCACAAAAAAGTTACAAAGACAAAAAAGAAGCTCACAGGATTGGGGGCAGCAGAGGGAGGACTGGGAGATGCGTTTCATTAAACTGGAAGTGGAGCTATGACGGTGAGCGGAAGCACAGCCAGGATGTGGGAAACAGCAGAGACAGTAAGGATGCAGACAGAGAGGTCAGGATTCAGCTTGTCTTCATAAGAACCATCTAAATTGTGTGCGTTAGTTTCTTTGAACTCCAGTTTCTCTTCTGTGCAAAAGAGCTGGTATCTACCAAGCGGAGGTATGAAGGCTGCATGGAGTAAGAGTTCATTGTGACTTAGCCCAGGGAACGTTGGCCATATTGGCAGTCATTTCCTCTGTGCTAGATTGGCAGCGTGGACGCACTACTGCATTGCATGAAGGGAAATGATACCACCGAAGGGATAGATGTGGAGTTTGAGGAGTGTTAACTTTGGCATGATCTGTAGAATGAACTGAAGAAAAGGTCACGTATGTGCTGGGGTGAAGGAAGTGCAGGACTACACGGAGATGAGGCTTGAGATAACCACAATGTAGAGGAGTACAGTAGTAAAAATGAACTTAATATGAACTTGATACTGAAAGAGAGAATGAAGGGTCCTAGAGAAAACATATAAATAAAATAAATTTCTAAATAAAATAAAAATGAAAAGGAAACCTAAGAAAATATGTTAAAGAGAAAGTAAAAGCATCAAACTAGTAGAAGAAAATACTAAGGAAAAACTTGTAAAGAATGCCCCCTTTTTTTTTTTTTAATTTCCTTTCCCAATGGCCTATTTCTTATCTTCTTAGTTTGGCGACATGCCTTTTATCCATCAACTCTGAGGGTTGCTGGCACTGATCCTCGGTCTGAAGGTGATCATGTCAGAAAGTTGGGTGTTTCCTTACAGCATTTATCCTGAGGACAAATCTCTACAATCTCTAGATATGAGGACAAATCTCTACAGTCTCTAGATATGAGGACAAATCTCTACAGTCTCTAGATGTAAGGACAAATCTCTACAGTCTCTAGATATGAGGACAAATCTCTACAGCCTCTAGATGTAAGGACAAATCTCTACAGTCTCTAGATATGAGGACAAATCTCTACAGTCTCTAGATGTAAGGACAAACCTCTACAGTCTCTAGATGTAAGGACAAATCTCTACAGCCTCTAGATGTAAGGACAAATCTCTATAGTCTCTAGATATGAGGACAAATCTCTACAGTCTCTAGATAGGAAGCCAACAGGTTATCAGGCAGGAGAAAACATCCGTGGAGTATGAGGCTATGAAGCCAGAAGGGGTTAGGGGAGAAGCAGAGAGACTCGGAGACTGGTGACAACAGGACTCATTAAGGCACACAGAGGTGGCAGAGGTCTTCTAAAATTTCTCTAAGCTAACCACGCTCTCTGCAGTAGATCCTTTTCCATTTAAGCTAGGCTGTGTAATGGAAATATCAGCATAAGATAAAAAGTTTCTGCAGTTCAAAATATGATAGAATCAAGCCAAAGAAATTAGGAAACAATACGATTTGACAAAAGGGTAATTATCCTTCTTGAATGAAAAAAATGGTAAAAAATAACATTGTGAGAAAGGAGAAACACAGGTTACCAATGGGACACTTGCAGAAAAATACAGTCAATAAAAAAGCCTGCTTGAATATCAGTTGAATATAAACCCAAACAACAAAGGTTTTCAACCAATCATATCACAGAGTTTTGGAAAATAGGATAGTAATATTTGTGAATTGTAATGTGTGGGGTATTCCACTTTTCTTTCAGTATTTCTCTGTTGTATGTATCAAAGCCTTCAAAATGTCTGCAATCTTTGATGGAAATATTCCACATTTAGGACTTATTCTAAGGATATAATCAAACGTCACAATGTGAATCTTTCTGCGTATAAAACTCTGGGTATATATGCACTAAGGTTCACATACAAACATGTTCATTGCAGTGATATTTGTATTAGTAAAATTATAAGTATTTAGTTAACTGATTGAGAATACACAGTCATCTGATGGGAAACGATCATCAATAAAATGCATGATCTTGATGTGCCATGCTTTGCTGATGCCCATGGGAGGCCTAACTCTTTCTGAGCGAATACGGAGAGGGGTGGGTTGAGGGGGGCAGAGAGGTGAAGGGAGGGAGTGGGAGGAGAGAATGGAGGGGGAGCTGTGGTTGGACTGTAAAATAGATTAATTAAAATGCATGATTTTGGATTGCACTTTGCAGCATTGGTAAAGTTTTCTGTAGAGGTGTAATGCAGGAGTGTTGTGGGCTAAAATGATATGCTAGGGTCTCAGTTACTATTGTGTGAGCTGTGTATGGATGCATACAGATATTAGAACGTAAAATAAAATTTCTGTTGTCTTAGACTTTTGACCAAAGCTATGCATAACTGGTATTCATATTCTCAACAAAGGGGTTAGATATTGCTCCATAGTATTCACTACAAATGAAAGAAAAAGTTCAGTGACCACCATTAAGACTACTAGCAGAAGGCTGCAGAAGCAATCCCCCCCCCCCAAAAAAAGGTTCATTAGTAGCTAATTTGTAGAAGTAGAGCGCTGTATGGCATGGACCCTGGTCCTGATGGCACCGGAGGTGTCTGAAGATGGGAAGTTGACTGGCAATGTTTATAATGGAGGTGGGAGTTAGGGGCAGCAGTAGGAAGGGCCATCACTGTTACTCCTGGGTGACATTGTGTGGGTTTTCCCATGGGAGAGAGAGGTGGGATGAGGAGAATGCATGACCTCTCCACTTTAGGTCCCTGAGCTTCATACAGATCTAGACTCAGAAAGTACAGTTTTGCTTTGAACTTAAGTCTGGATTTGCTGATGTTTGCATAGCAAGTAGCTCCTGTACCTCAAAGAGAAGGCGGCTATGGGGTCTGCCTACAGTTAAGGGCTGAGGATTTGGGGCAATGATGGGTAGTGCATGTTTGATGGGAGACTCATGTATGTGGGACTGGGGAGTGATGACACATGCCTGAAGGCAGTCAGTGGGCATGTGTGTAATCAAGCCTCCTCTTTTCCCCACCAGGCCTGTCCTGTTAACACTGCTCCTAGAAATACACATCAGGATCTGAAAGACTTACACATAAAGAGATCTACAGCCATCTCTGGGTGATGAGAATACAGGTGCTCTCAGTGCTCCTTTACATTTTTATGTCTATTATTCATGTCCAAAATAAGTATATACATTTTTACAACAAAACGAGAAGCATTACCACACCAAAACAAAGACAAGTAAAGAAAACCAAATCAAAATGAAACAGAATTAAATGTTAAAACAAGATACAAATGAAAGGTATATAAAAATGGAGCCATGAGCTGGGTGGTCGTGGTGGTGGTGCACTCCTTTTATCCCAGCACTTGGGAGACAGAGGCAGGCAGATCTCTGAGTTGAAGGTCAGCCTTGTCTACAGAATGAGTTCTTCTGTATACTTAATTTTGTAAAATAAATATAAATACATCCTGCCTCTACAGAAGCTAAGTATCAATTAAAGTGCAGAGGGGGGGGGGAGAGAAAGGAAGAGAGAGAGAGAGAGAGAGAGAGAGAGAGAGAGAGAGAGAGAGAGAGCGAGCTTAGTTATTGACAGGGGCCAAGGGATTCTTTCTAATTCAAAAGACGAGCCATATTTAATAGGACTGACTATGAGCTACCTATTTCAGACATCCATGATACAGTGCAAAGATTGGATTTGACCCCATCAACATTTAACAGTACTGGCCATAAAACCAATGTGACTTTAGATTTCCAATATTTTAACTCACATTTGACCATACATAGAAAGCCACCCCTAGGTTTAACAGATTTTTCTTTAGTCTGTGCTCCTCTTTTGTCAGATCCCCCAATTCTATTGTTTTATACAACAGCAAGGCTGAGGTAGACTTCACAACACCAAGGCCTGGCTTTGGCGGGAAGAGCAGTCTATCTCTGGAGGAGCCCAAGACTCAGCGGTAGTTAGGCTCTTGTGGCTGCCCCCCTTCTCTCCACAAACTAGTGTTGCTCTCCTCTCACGCCCTTCCGGCTCTCACACTTCTTCTCAGATAGCAAAGCACTCGTGATTTGGGTGGTTCCCTACCATTGGGTTGGCAGGCAGTAGAAGGAAGGCGAGAGCCTGGCTGTTCCTGTGGTGGCAATGGCAAAGGGATGTGCTTTACTGGAATTCAGAGCTCACTTCTCCATAGAAACCATGTTATACTGTTAGGTAGGTTCTATAGCACTCTTAGAACTCCAGGTGGAATTTGGATCAAATGGACTCTTATCAGTTCTAGGCAATCTACCTACCTCTTTTAGGCAAATAGAAAAATTGTATTCCAGACAGTTGTCTAGCACGCACTTGTGTATACATACACACAGACACACACACAGACACACACACAGGAACTCCATGGAAGGCCATAGTACAGGCAAGGGTGCAAATTGTTAGGAGGTCTTTTAGCTCAGCTTCTAAATATTGTAATGTTCTTGCTTTCAGTATGTTCCAAAAGACTTGTGCCAGTTCTTGGTGCTTAAGGTGGTAACAAACAACAGGTGGTTGTAGGATTAGAGTTCAGTAGGGAAGAGAGTCTGGGAGTAGTCGAGAGAGAGAGAGAGAGAGAGAGAGAGAGAGAGAGAGAGAGAGAGAGAGAGAAACTATTTTTTTATTCTTATGGGGTGTATTAGTCACTTTTCTGTTGCTATAATAAAAGACTATGACTAAGGCAACTTATGGAAGAGATACTTTTTTTTTGTGTGTGTGGGGGTTATGGTTCCAGGGAGTGAGAATTTATAATAGTGGGGACAGTGTGGCAGGAGGTAGCAGATATGGTATTTCATATCACAAGCATGACTATGAAACACACACGCACTTAGAGAGAAAGAGAGAGAGAGAGAGAGAGAGAGAGAGAGAGAGAGAGAGAGAGAGAGAGAGGCAGACAGACAGGCAGACAGACAGGCAGACACTGGGAATGGTGCTAGGCTTTTGACCTCATAGCTCACCACTAGTCATGAACTTCCTCCAAGGCTGCAGCACTTCCTCAAGCAACTCCTCATTCCAGCCAGCACTTGGAGGTTTGAGGGCAACTTCTCTCAATTATTGCTGAGGTCAGACCAACCTGATGAGTCTCCACAGCAGGAGAGTGAAGCCTTAGGAAATGAGATCTAGACCACATGTCTGATGAAGATTGAAAGCAGCACTAATATATGGAAATCCATATGAGTGTTTAGAAGGCAGTCTGTCCACAGGTCTATTTAGCAAAACAGTAGTACAAGGTTCTCCATGTTAGATGGAGTACTCTGTAGGTAAATGTTAAATCCAACTGATTTATTTGATAAACTCTCAAGTTTTGTTGTGGATTTTTCGTTTGGAAAACCTATCTATAGATGGAAGTGGGGTGGTAAAGTTTCTCACTGTTGCTGTTATTATTTGGGGTACCTGTATGACTTTTCAGGGTTTTATAGACTTTTAGTGTTTGTTTTATAAAACCAGGAGCCCCCAAATTTTGTAATTATATATTTACAGTTTTAAATATCCTTGGTGAATTATTCATTTTATTAATATGTAGTGGCCTTTATTATCTCTTCTGAATAATTTTGATTGAAGTTTTGTGGAATATTCCTTTATACTATGTGAATATATGTCACTGTGATTGGTTTAATGAAGAAGTTGACTGGCCAATAGCTGAACAGAATAAGGTTAGGTGGGAGGGCCAAACTGAGAATGCTGGGAGGAAGAAGGGCAGAGTCTGAGGAATTGCCAGCAGTTGCAGAGAAGGGCCTGCCATATTGAGAAAAGGTACTGAGAGAGCCATGTAGCAAAGCATAGATAAGAAGTATAGGGCAACATAAATGTAAGAGTTAGCTAGTAATAAGCCTGAGCTATCGGTTGAGAGTTTACATAATTGTAAATACATATACAATTGTAAATTGTAAATATTAAGTTTCTGAAAGATTATTTGGGAGCAGCTGCTGGCACAGGAATACTCCACCTGCAAAGATTACTTTAAGACCAGCTGTACCAATTTGTTTGTTTTTTTGGTTTCATTTGCTTAAAAGGTTGACTTCCATTCCTTGATTCTGCTGCCTGTAGCACACATCTCTCCTGAAATAGCTCCACTCCGTACCCACAATTTCCCTTGGTAGATATCCTATGGTTCTGGTAACTCCAAAATCCTGAGTTTTCCACTGAAACTTTGGGTTTGCCTTTAAAATAGCAGCATGCAATGGCCTGTGAAGGCCTCCTTGTAAGGATTCTTATCCTGTTAAATGTTGCCTGGTGTCAGCTGCTCTCTGAATCTATGGAATAAGACTCTCCTCAAAGCTGCATTTTAAAAATGCATATTTCATGAAATTGCTATTTTAACATTTTTACTTAATTATCTTAGAGCTACTTCAAATTCAGCATGTTTAAAATCATATCCTTTGTCCTCCAGAATAACCTGATTTAAGTTGTGCCATCATTACAGTAATTTTCACTGTCAACTTGGATGAGTTTGGCATCACCTTGGAGATGCACCTGCTGGCATGCCTCTGAGTTTTCCAAAGAGATTTAACTGAGGGGAGCCTCACCGTGACTGTGGATGGTGCCATCCTGTGGGCTGAGGTCCAGGGCTGAATAAAGAGGAAATAGAAAGTGAGCTGAGTGCCCATTCATCTTTCTCTGCTTCTGGACTATGCAAGCAACATGATCTACTGCCTCACATGAGAGCTGCTCTGGCCACCGTGCCTTTCCCATTGTGATGGATTGCATCCTCAAATCATGAACAAAACACACCCTTTTCCCCATGAATTGCTTCTTGTTATGCATCTTGTCATATCAATGAGAAATTGCTAAAGAATGAATGAAACCATCCTAAAAAGTAAAAATGTTGATTACAGGTTAAGACAATAATGTTGGGATCTACCAAACCAGATAAAATACACTTCTAGGGTTAGTTTCACTTTCACCTATTTTTATTTTTTAAAATGTGACCATGAGAAAGCCTAGAATTCCATGTGTGGCCCACATTATCACCGCTATCGATCAGTATGTCTTCAGAGTTGGGTATGAGTTGGAATAGGGCAGTTTTCTCACCCTGTGTCTTTCCTTACAGCATCTGCTGCTTACTAGATGCCCACAAATGCTTAGCACATAGGTGAGTGGATAAAATTCATTCCAACACAGCAGGAGCAGCTTCACCTAGAGAGCCATATGTCTTGTTGCTGTATTTCTTATCTTTATCTTTTTTTTCAGGGGCAGGGATCAACCCAGGGCCTTGTTCTTGCTAGGCAAGGTTCTATCACCGAGCTACACGCCCAGACCAATCTGTCTTTAGAGTAAAAAATCTCAGGAACAATACCAATAAAGTAGCGAGGCCAACAAGGTTCCAATGTATTTTCATCTCTTGGAAGTTAAAACATTTAAGCTTAGTAGATCTGGTAATCGTACCTAAACCATAGCACAGACCATATCCTGTGATTAGGCTAGGGATGTCCTGGCCACAGAAGGGTAGCTTTTTCCTTAGTTGGTAAGCAGCAAACTTTTGGGTGCTTTTGAGAGATGAAGACTAACAATGTCTCCATGTACAAATATACTATGCTGCTACCTGCTAACAATGTTTATTCCCTGTGATACAATCTTTCCTCTTGGTGACTCAGCCCTCCTTTCCCCAGCAAGGTTGCCTTTGCCATTTGTACTTTGGTTTTCAGTGAGAAACAGACCCTTTTCCCTCACCTCTGACAGGATCATTTTACACAGTCCAGGCTGACTAACTCATGATTGGCATTTCACTCTCCCTGGCACTGATACTAACTGCTGTGCTACCTACCCTGCTCAACTATTAATTAATAATTATTTTTGTTGGAAGTCAGCCGTGTTATTAAGAAAGCTGCATTTCAGATCCCCCTTCTCCACCTCTTCAGCCCCAAGCACCCCATCCTTCCCTGTTGTTTATTGAGTCTCTCTGTCCACAGGAAGTGTACACTCAGACACACACAGACATAGTCCAGCAGTGACTTCACATCTTTAGAGCTGAAGTCTTTCTAGTGTTCACCCTGCCTGTCTGACTGGTAACTCTGTGAGGGCTGAGTCATCGGAAGGATCGTGGGGACTTCCCTGGCACTCCCAGTCTGGCCACTCTGCCCTTCTGTGTTTTTCACAGATCAAAACCCAGCCAAATCCAGGACTTATTTTCATTCATCCTGTCTTTCTGCTATCTTTAGTGCAGTGACCTACTTAAGCTAAAGGGAACCACAAACCCCCATGGAAATGTTCTGGCACTTCTTTCCTGTGTAGAAATTGGTTAGGTACGTGTTAGAAAGAAGCCTGTGAACTCTAAGAATTGTTTTGGCTGGAGAGGGAAGTGTAAAAGTGGGGACAGAATTGTTAAGAGGGAACTGTTAGACGGTAGGGTGTTCTTGGGGGAGGTGACGACGCGGGGAAGGCTGGGTCAGAAACGGCTACTCAAGAGCAGCTCCACGTGGAGTTTCCATCCTTTTAGTTCCTGCTATCAGCATTCCACCTAACATCTCTATGCCCACAGCAGATCTGAAGAAGATCGAGACCCAGGCAGGCGATGTCACAGCTGAAGCGTTATCAGAAACCCCCGCTGTCACCAGCACCGCAGTCAATTATTGATAAACGCATAAATGGCAGCAGAGTTTGCAAAAACCACTTAATGCCGAAAGATGACAGGTGGAAACAGCTTTCAACCAAGTAGACCGAGACTGCGCTTGTGTTTCTCGGCTGCCCAGACCCAAACAATCACACAGAAACTATACTAATTACAACACTGTTTGTCCATGACTCAGGTGTATCCCTAGCTAGCTCTTACATCTTAAATGAACCCATTTCTTTCTTTTTTTTAAAAAATATTTATTTATTTATTATGTATACAATATTATGTCTGTGTGTATGCCTGAAGGCCAGAAGAGGGCACCAGACCCCATTACAGATGGTTGTGAGCCACCATGCGGTTGCTGGGAATTGAACTCAGGACCTCTGGAAGAGCAGGCAATGCTCTTAACCTCTGAGCCATCTCTCCAGCCCGTAAATGAACCCATTTCTATGAGTCTATGCATTGTCATGTGGCTGTGGCGTTACCTCATTTTCTACATGTCTTGTTTCCTCGGCATATGGCTGGTGTCTGACCTGACTCTGCCTTCTTTTTCTCTGTATATCTGCTCAGATTTCCCACCTGACTTTTCTCTGCTAAGCCATTGGCCCAAAAAGCTTTATTCATTAACCAGTAAAAGCAACATGTATACAGAAGGACATCCCACATCACAACCAAGTGCCAAAACACCTTCATTTTGCCTTGGATTTGTCAGGATTTGGCTGGTCTACCTTAAGACTCCTCTATTTCTCAGTGACTCGTTTTCCCTAGCTGATGGCTGAGATATCTTAGCCATTTATATGTTAATTAATAACTGTTATTACTTAGTTTGTTCATCGACAAGCAGTCAGATTGATGTGTCTTTGTTTCCTTTCCCTTTTTGTCTGGAGATATTGGTAGGTGGGGCATAAAAGAGCTCAAATATCTGAGTAGACCCCCAAACAGAAAATGTGCCTTTGAATCACAGGCTGCCAGTTTATACCATGGAGCCCCTTTGGCTAACCCTCACATGGGCTCAGGCCTCTGCATCCTAGGGTCCCATCCTGGGAGCCAATCCTTCTATCTTCTTGCATGATGTGCATGATGTGGAGTTCCATCTGACTCCTTGACCAACAACCCAGAAACTGTTGCCAGGCCTGGATGCACTCTGTTGTTTAATCCCACCATAACAGTTATGTTTCTTAGACTTACCGTCAAAACTAGTGAGAGTCGATTTGTAGAGAGCATTTGTAGACCAGAGGGTAAGCTTAAGCATATAGTGCTAAAAACTTTTAGCACCCGGAGATCCTCAAATCCATCTAAACCAATACGAAATGGGTTGCCTGAGGCTACAGACCAACCACAGCAGGGCAAAGTTGTTGGAAGAAAGCTAGACTCTCAGGCTGTGTCTTTCCCTGTTCTCTGTTGCTTGATTAAAGCTTCAGTACTAAGATTTCAAAAGTTAAAGGACACAAAGGGTTTGCAGTGAAAAATTAGTCTCCTATCCATAATTGGCTCCAACTACTTAAGTCTCTTCTCTTTTTGCCAACTTAGAATCAATTGTTGCTTAAAGTGTGAGGTAGGGACCCAACATCCAGTGCTTTTACTAGCCCACAAGGTGTTTTTCCTTTTTGCATGCTTCTCTCTTCATATTTTTGTGTTTATTTGTGCTTATTTTTTTTCTCCTCTGGGAAGCTGAGAGTCAGCAAACACATTAAAAGCACATTTTGGTCTTGGTTAGAAGTTAGGGGTTGTATTAAGTGTGGACTAATTTGTGAAATGCTAACAGTGTGATGAAGTCCAGTCTGTCTTGAAAGTTGGGCTTCTGCTCTTTGATGTGGCTTTGTGAGGGTTCTGTTGCCAAGACCTAAAATGCCATGCTTTGTACTAAAATAAATTCCAGTTGTGCTGGTCTGTTTGCTGCTTATTCAACCCAAGCCATTTCCCCACGCCTCATTTGCTCATCTCCTCCCTCTACTGGCCCAGCGTCAGCTTCCTACTTTCCTATTGGGCCTATCTTAGTGTCACTCATGAAGCTGGACAGTGTGGCTTATCATCACACACCTATCCTTACAGCAAGTGGAGGGTGAGGCAGGGGGATTGCCATTCATTCAAGGCCAGCTTGGGCTACATAACTAGATCCAGGCCAGGCTATGCTGCACAGCGAGACACTGCCTCAGAAGAAAAACCCAAACGACAAATCCCTGAATAAGAATAAACTCGATGCCCCCATGGAGCTTCCCCCACTTTCCTCCCCTTCTCGTCTTTCACACTGCTCCCTATGTTTTTACATAATTAATAATTCACTTAATTGTGATGCTTGCTATTTATCATCTGTCCCCACTGCTAAAGTGCACACAGGAGTTCAGGGATTTCTGTTTTATTCGCTGCCTTCTTCTAAGTGCCCAGAATTCCCTCTGGCAGATAATAAATGTCCGACAAGTATTTGATTAATTTGAATCGAAGAAACCATGTATCTAAAAGATTTTTTTTATTAAGAGTAGAATTGCATTGAAAAAAAATCAAGCCCTGACTATCTTTTTATCACCCATCTAAGTAACTATATATGAAAACCATCTTCTCTTCTCATTTCTAGTCATCGTGAGGTATTTATTACATTTCCTAACAGGAGAATGGAGCTAGGCCTGTGTTTTTCATAAGTTACAAAACTAAATTCATTACTTCTATTATTCTTTGATTATTACATGCAATATATTTGATCATATTCACTTCCCTCCCTCAGCTTCCCAAATCCTTCCAGATCCATCTCTCCTTTCTTGCTCACAGCACTTCATGTAACCTTCCATTAAAAACAACAACAACTCCATCAGGTAAAGTTTTTGCTGCTCAGATAGTCTTGGATGTGTGCCTTTCCATGAAAGTGTGGTTGACCTTACCAGGAGCCATTGTTATCAATTAAGAAGCCTTTGTCATCACTGGAACATTAACTTCAAAAAGTAATTGAGAATTCTCCCTGCTCCACTCTTTCTTTCTTTCTTTCTTTCTTTCTTTCTTTCTTTCTTTCTTTCTTTCTTTCTTTCTTTCTTTTTTTTGTTGGATTTTTGAGACAGGGTTTCTCTGTAGCTTTTGGTTCCTGTCCTGGAACTAGCTCTTGTAGACCAGGCTGGCCTTGAACTCACAGAGATCCGCCTGCCTCTGCCTCTGAATGCTGGGATTAAAGGCGTGCACCACCACTGCCCAGCTCTCCCTACTCCACTTTTAAAATGCTCTGGAATAGTTAAAATATTATTAGCTTTTTCTTGGAAATATAGTAGCTTGTCGATTCTCAGTATTACAGCTGTATCTTTACATTTCATATTTTCATATGCATTGTATTGTGGATGTAATATTTTGCACATAAGAAGAAACTTTCTATATCATGTATTCTTTTAAAGCCAATGCTAATTAGTAAGTTTGAGTTAACATTCATGCTAGCTTTCCATGATATGGCAAAACACTTGAACAAATCAACTTAAAAGAGGACATATATATCTTTCCTCATGGCTTCATAGGTCTATTTGCTGTCAGCTGGCTCCATTGCATTCCCACTTGTGGGGAGTCAGAAATATCATGGGAAAGGTTATGACAGAGGATGGCTACTCACTTATGGTAAGGAGAGAGGGAGGGAGTGAGAGGAGAGGGGAGAGACGGGCGATAAGATTCAGTCCTGAAGGGCACATCCACAATGAACTATTGTTGTGGAATATTATTTTAAGATGTGTTACATTTGTTTATGCTGTGGAACATTTGGCTAATGATGCAAAGATGTGTTGCATTCTTTTATGCTGCATTTGTTTAACTCTGTGAAGCTGTGTTACTTTGTTTAAAACACCTGATTGGTCTAAAAATGAGCTGAATATTGAGGTAGGAGAAAGGCTGGGTGGGGCTGGCAGGCACAGAGAATAAATTGGAGGAGAAATCTGGGAAGGAAGATTGAGGAGCAAGAGAAGGAGGAGGACATCAGGGGCCAGCCACAAAGGCAGACACAGAGTAAGAAGTAAAGAAAAGATATACAGAAACAGAAAAAGATAAAAGCCCAGAGGCAAAAGGTAGACAGACTAAGAAAAGCTGGCTAGAAACAAGCCAAGCTAAGGTCAGGCATTCATGAGAAAGACTAAGTCTCTGTGTGTGGTTATTTGGGATCTGGGTGGGGGGCCCTGTTAAGTTTAATTCCTGGTCAATGGCAATCTGCCACTGCTGATGTAATAAGCCAATCAAACTGAATCAATAAATCCAGGTTTATTCTGAGCACAGCATTCCTGGGTGGTGCCAGGGGAAGTTGAGGAGATCATGAGAGGAAACCACAAGGTGGGGGCTTTTAATACCCTGTGCTCTCTGTGGTGGCCAGAGTCTGGGCTGAGACAACTCCTGCAGAGGGGGTTGAGGTGGATCCCCACCCAAATATTCCAGATTCTTTGGATATATGGATGCCAGGGGCCGGGTAAGTCTTCCACCAGAACATCCCAGACTCTTGGGGTATATGGACAAGGGTTCAAGTCTTGCTACTTCCTGCGGGCATGGGATGATTATGGGTAGGGGGAGAGTTGGGAGTTGGTGGGCTCACATTTAGCAGGAGGTATAGGTGGAGAGGCATCCCATTAACTGACATCCTGGAGACCTCAGACATCTGTTCCTTGAGAGAACTGAGAAGGCAGGTTGATAGGAGAAAAAATAGATTGTTTTCATTGGGTCTATGAATGGGGCTAGTCATGGGAAGGGTGACTAACTGCCAGAATGAAAGGACGGGAGAAGCACCCTGCTTGTACAGGAGAGACAAGGGTGAATGATTGAGACATGAGAGCAGATATGCCCTTTAAATCCAGATTTCAATTGATGGGTAGGTGCCATTTGAGCCTGGAGAGGTGGTACCTACCAATGGTGGAGTCCCAGGATCTGGTGCAGTTGCTTGCATTTTCTGGAGAACCCTCTGCAGGCTGGCCTCGACCCAGGCAGCAGGAGTGACCTGCAAAATATGCTTGAACATGGGTAGGGTCAAATAGGCTTTGGGCACTCATAGTTTTCACCAGACAAGACTTGATACAGCAGCAGCAGTTCTCCCAGGAACTTATAGGTGTCTGTGAGACATCTGAACAGGTTTATATCTTGGTGTCAGAGCAAAAGGCTATGATTGTAGGTGTGAAGTCATAACCATTTTAGAAGACAATTAGAGGAAATTTGAAAATTCTGAACCTCTGAGGTTGTATCTGAAACCTGTTAGGCCCCAAAAGAGCTAAGAGTA